CCCCGCCGCCCCTTGTTGGCTTGTCGAAAAGCCCTCCAAGACGTCCAGGGCAGCCCTACAAATACCCTACGAATACTCTCCTCACTAACCGGATGTGCACCGTTGCGGTGGTACGGCGGTACAGCTGTGCGCTGGTGCTGAACATTTTTTCCTCTGGAAAAACCCGCCGCGCACTGCGCCCTAAACACGAGGGAGTGAAAAACGAGAAACAAACGCTACATTTCCCCTTTTTCACTCGCGCGCAACACCAAACGAACAGCAAGACTATCGCCATTCATGATGCATGTATGCCTATCTATTCGCAATAGTGTTTTACAACGGATGCAGTATCGAAAATGACTAGAATCACCTGAAACAAAGACACTGCTCCTTTCAGAGTCCCCTCCCACCCGATTGTTGAACCGTAGTGTCTGGTTGCCATCAAGGCCACAACAGAATGTTGTCCACGTTCGCGACGGATCATGCTGCCGTTTGTAGACACCCCCTCCTTTTCGGAAACTCGACTCCCGAACATCGAAGGGACCAACCACCCCACCTTAGCGTCCCCCCGTTACCCTTTGGGATCCCCAGCAATTTCTTGGGGGGCCCGTCTACCTTTCTTTCGGTATCTCTTCCCACGACACAACGTTGTGTACTCATATCTTCCATGCTATCCAATACGCGTTTGCATGTGATTCGAAGGATTGGAGACATCACAACGTATCAGGGTGCCCGTTTACAGGTAGCATCAGAGCGTGTGATCCACCACATCATCAGGGGGTGGGGGGGCGTGAGCACAACAGTGTGGAGAAGGCATCATCAAGGAAACGCAATGACTTTAGTGATAATCTTAACGGCTCGCTGGCCTTTCTCCGAATGAAAGAGCTACACGGCAGGAATTACTGCACGAGGCCCGCGAGAAGTGCTTGGCGCCGCCGCCTTTTGGCTCTTGATTAGGTGCTCCAACACCAATATCGTCGACGCTTCCGAGTGCCTGGCAGGCTGCACGCTGTTTGGACTGGGTCCTTTCGACACCGACATCCTGGTAGTGTGGGGTGACCGCGGGCAATGAGTAAACAGCGTGGAGCGCGAAGTGAGTACAGGGGGCACCGTAGCTACCTGTACAGGCTGCGACAGTTCTCACGCCTCCGGGTGCCTTTGGGCCGCTACCTCTTCCGGAGTGGATGAATCCAGCGACGGCACGTGCTCAGTATGTGGCACCAGAAGCACCTCCGGCGTTTTGTCATACATGAGCGACTACCCGCGTAGACTAGAATTTCTTGCAACCTCACTGCAGTAACATGGAAGCCGTGGGATACGATACAAGCGTATGCGTCACCGCCGTGGTCGACGATGGCATGGTGGTGTGCGTGGATGAACCGTACGAAGCACCCACGTTCGAGCAAGTCAGCTGCCCGCCTACTTCACTCGTCCTCACTAGCCATTGTGAGTCGAACGGATCTATCAGAACAAGGGCAGAAGAGATGTTCGAAACCGTTGGGACTTGCGCGGGATCTGACGACGCCTCCGGTACTGGGGCAGACGATGACGCCTACGTTCATGACGGTGAGCAGCGTGTGCCGACTAGATTTGCAGGGTATACTTGTAGTGAGGGTCCGGCGAGATTGGTAGAGTTTGCATTTCTCTCTACCGTTCCTCTAGTCTAGTTGGGGGGCATTCCTTTGGTCCGGTGACAGTCGCGGTGAAAATGAGGACAGGTAGCGCACGTTACACTTGGATAAGACTGGACCACGACTCTCGATCACCGACAAAGCAAACTATACGCATGACGTCAAAGTTTCCAAAGTGCATGGCGTTCACACTCAACGTCTCTTTTGCTTCGATGTGAATTCGGAAGCTTTCGAGAAGAATCATGTTTCGAATTTCCCCCTCAGTTTGCTTTCGATCGCGTTCGATGTTTGTTTTTGCCCCTGTCGATATGCTTGGTAGCATTTTGCCGCCGCCACCAGTGACATGCGTGACATCTCGTCACACACTACTACGACAAAGGTACACCTTCAATCAGTGGCGAGAGGACCCTGTACTTTCGTGGTTTATCAACCGTCCATGGCGAGCCGCCCGTATCACCACCAGGTATCACAGACCCCGTGATGATGGCCCAGGCGCCCAAGTGTTCAGACGCAGCTCGTCAACACGACGATGTCATCACGTCGTGGACGGCTCGCGTTCGCCCAGATCCAAAGGCGTTCACGTGGGATATCTTGGCACCCCAGAATGACTGAGAGCACTCACTCACTTCCTTTCAATGTTGGTAAGGGCAGTGGAGGTGAGCATATCCTTGGTGTAATTTACTCCGATAAAACCGTTGGTGTTAGTTCGTTGTCTCCGCAAACAATTATTCAACGCCACCGCCATGCAAGTGATGGAGCACAACTGAGTGGATTTGCGGATGCTGTTTTCCACTGATCTCTCGAGCCGAACGTGACCCTAGACCCTTTCGATTTCTGTGAAAGCATTGAAGCCAGTACGTTCTGCCTGGATTCACTTCGAGGCAGCACGACCAATAGTGTTGTGCCATCCATTTGCCCGTTTTCGGTTTTTCTTGCAGGCGTCACGGATAATCGGCTTCTCCTTCGCGCTCCTGCTCTCTGTGCAAGACAAAGGCGTCGACGCCACAAAAGACAGCGATGATAGCGACGATGGTTCGTCCCTCTCGGTCTTGACAATTCTTAACATGTAGGCAGGGAGTCTGTAGTTGAATGAAAATCTACAGTCAATTCCTTTAAGTCTCTTGTGCCAGTATGGATAGGCGGCCTGACAGAAAGGTCAATTTTTATTGTGCAAAAATTATTTTCGCTGACAACAACCCAGATCGAGAATCTATTGCGGACAGCAATGCCCAAGTCGGTGTGTAGGTAATGCAGTGTTGAGCGTTCCATCGTGGTGAGCACGGCAGGAAAACCCTAGAATTGCCGTTGGATATAAGCTCCGGACGCAGTCCGTTGTCCGAGTGCCGTTTGTATCATGAATTGCCCGGGTGCGTTTGAAAAGATCGGCTAGACACAATAAAGTAGCAAAATAAAAAAAACATTTCAACAGCGACTTGGCAACATTTAACAGTGACTACCGACGAGCATCTAGGCGTGTACATCCCAATCGTCCAACTACACGTAGCGACTACAAGCACACAGCGTAGCCCACGACAAGCAAATGTACACCTTGGACTTCGCTCGCAACTACGCCTGGAACCCTTAGTTCCTCCGACCCGCCCTGTCGGACCTCTTTCATACCCAGCACGATGACCTTTTCTCGAGAAAGAGGGGTGCAAGACGCCGACCACTGCTACTAACACCCCACCAATTGAATCAACCAAAACACAGAAGCAAGAGCACAATACCAAGAACGCGCATCACGTCGTGTATCGGGAATCCCCATGGCTGCTTCCCCATCTTCCCTCCACGTTTCGCAACGCCATCGGCGCCTTCGTCGTTACGTCGAGCCTCTTATCGCTTTCGCGGCGGGCGCGAGTGTGCTACAAAAGCACGCAACTGTAGTCAGACGTATCAAGCGAACCCCAGGCCACTAAATAACTGAAGGCCGTCGTTCCGGATCCAGTTGTCCCATCGCCGAACGGGCCAACTTCTCTTCTAACTCGCCCCCGACAAAAGCCTTCACCTCGCTCTCTCCGGCCTCCACGAGCCTCCTCTCGAAGAGCGCTCCCGGATTGCCCCGCAAAAAGACATGATGCCACAATCTTATAACTCGTCGGCTCACCCTCCCGGCCGTTCACAACGGGTGTCTTTGTCCCGCCACCTTGGATGGACTTCGCATGAATGAATGGTGGTATGCATCCCTGGTCTCGAAAGTCAGACCTCGGACGAAAGAAGTCGGTGGTTTTCGACGCGCCACTGCTTACGGCAACGATGCGGCAGGTCCGTTTCTCGCCTCGCTCCTGCCGTTCTCGTTGGCCTCTGCATGCGGGCGTCTCTTCTCCCGGCCGCCACCGCCGCTGCAGCCTTCGCCTCTTCCTCCCGGTACCACCACGACTGCCACCCCAGGCCCGTTCCCCCTTCTCCTTTTGGCCGCAGACGTCGCTGACGGCCCACCCGTTTCGACTCCTTCGGCACTCGCAGCGACGCTAACAAGTGATGTTGACGTCCCGTTCGCCGCTGCTGCTGCTGCTGCTGCTGCTACTGCTGCTGCTGCTGCAGCGGCGGCGGCGGCGGCATCGGCAACGGTTGAGGTCGGTGCGGAAGCAACAGTGGAGGGCAGGGCGGTAGAATGGGCCCCGGGTCGACGGCCACCGTCGGAACACCCACCAACACCGCCAACGTCGTTGTCGCTGTCATCAATATCGTTCCGGGGACGCCATGCCAGCGGCTTGAGTCCTCCTCCCGCCCGCCTTGCGGTTCTTTTCTTTCTAGGGTCGTTGTCATTGTCATCATCATCATTCCGGGGAAACCGTGCCGGAGGCTTGAGTCCTTCCACCCGCCTCACATTTCTCTTCAGGAACAGCGGAGGTCCGCCGTTGTCCGCCGCCGCCTTCTTCTTCTCGTCGTCGCCGGCAGCCACGGCGGTCACCACCGCCGGCGCGTTCCCGTTCACGCTTCCCTTTCCTCCTGCGGAGGCGGCGGCGGTGGCGGCGGCGGTCGGTCCACCTTGACCGCCCCCACCCCGTTCCACTTGCGGCGGCGGCGGCGGCGGCGGTTGCTTGAGCAGAGCGCCGTTCTCGCCGCCTCGCGAAGATGCCTCTCCGCGATGACGTTTGCGTGGAACCTCTGCTGCCTCCCCGCCCGTCCCCGGTTTTGACGTGTCTCCTCCGCCGAGAGCCGGTGCCGCCGCCGTAGTTCCTCCGGCTACTACGTCCCCTCGGCGGCTGGAGGGAGCAGCGGCACCGGCGGCGGCGGCGGCGGCGGAATCAAGAGGCAGCTCTTGGGAGGTAGACGTCGCTCCGCCTGCCACGTCTCTTACCTTTCTCACGAAGGTGTCTAGGGAGGCTGTTTCGGCGGGCAATGGAGGGGGGGGTCGTACTTGTAGTCGTGCATGCCGTAGTCGTTAGACCATTGACCTCGCATCCCTACAAAGCCGGGACGGAGCACGCCGGGTTCTCACCGGACCAGGCTCTCACATCACCAAGCGCGAAGCGCCGTGAGATATTCGGCGAGTCGCATGAAGGGTGCGCTGCATCCTGCTAAGGGTTTTCGGCATCTTGTGCTTACTTCCTTGCGTACGGATGACAGCTGCGAATGACTTGCTTTATTTTCTGGTGCTTCACTTCCAGAGACAGTTGTAAGCACTGTGCAACTGCCTCGAGGGTGCTTGACCATTTTGACACAACGTGGTGCGATCAGCCCCCTTGCGCGGAGTGAGGGTTCTCCACCCCGCACAACGTGATCTACTCGACCACCACTATGGTTACCGCCAAAAAACAAAACAAAAAAAAAGCGGTAACCTGGTTGCCGAGTTCACGAAGTGAATTGGCTTGNGCTTTATTTTCTGGTGCTTCACTTCCAGAGACAGTTGTAAGCACTGTGCAACTGCCTCGAGGGTGCTTGACCATTTTGACACAACGTGGTGCGATCAGCCCCCTTGCGCGGAGTGAGGGTTCTCCACCCCGCACAACGTGATCTACTCGACCACCACTATGGTTACCGCCAAAAAACAAAACAAAAAAAAAGCGGTAACCTGGTTGCCGAGTTCACGAAGTGAATTGGCTTGTTTTACAGCGTCGTTGCCAAGCGACGAAAGCCCAACCCCGAACCACGGGAGTGGGAGTGTGGTGTGGAGGGGGGGATGGAGGGGGGCGGCGAAAGGGCGATGTTTCGGAGTGAAGGCGGGAGGGAAGGCAAGGAGCGCGAGTACCTCACCCAAGAGAAACGAAGGTGCGCTACACACCACGCAAACCAATAATAGGACTGACTCACCAGGGTGCTCGAACCGGTACCGGAGCTGGAACCGCTCGTGGCAGTCGCAGGCGCAGGCGACGCAGAGGTGGCACTGTCGGCAAGACGGCTCCTTGCAGTCGCACATGGACGCGGGGAACACCCCGTGGCTCCGCTGGGACCTCGACATGCGCTCGCGCTGCTCCAGGGTCCTTTCGCTGTGTTGGTGTTTAGTTTGCGAAGCAGAGGAGGTTGTTGAAGCGATAGCGTACTGCTGTTGGTCACGAGTAGAGCATGCAGCGTGGTATCGCGGACTGCAAGGTGCCTGGCACGAGCCAACGGCTAGGGCCTTTCACCTTCTTAGGTAGGTTGCCGAAGGACTACCAAGGAGAGGCCTAGAGGGTTACACCAGCCTACAAGCGAAGCTCATCAACTCCACCGTCATCTTTCGCCCCTCGAAATACCCATACTACACTCATTGTGTCATATTAATCTTCGTTGTGCCACCGCGCCCCCCGCCGCCGCCGCCGCCGCCGCCGCTACGGTGCGTTTCTCGAGGGCGTACGACTAGGGATTGGACCCCGTGAGGTTCAAAACGACGTTGCCCGGCCTCCGAACGCGAAAAAACAAAAAAGGCCGGCCGGTCGCCCACCTATGTAGAGAAGGAGGCACTGCAAACGGGACTTATCAGCTCCTTCTACGAAAAGAACTCAGAGCAACTTCACCGCAAGAAGACATGTGAGATGGAGTGGTCTTCCGTCGTACGGTACACAGCACCACACCACGGCTACGACGCCAAACTCACGGTATGCCGGAGCAGTGGTCTTGGTCCGTACACCCACCGCCTGCCCCCGCCGAAAAGCCGAACCTACCCGCCGCGTGGCACGCCAGACAGAGGGTCAAGTCTCTCGACAGGAGCGTCTCGCACCCGTAGCAGTGCAAGTACGCGTTGAAGATCTCGGCTCTGTTTTGATTGTTTTTGTTTTTGTTTTCGGGGGGCGACGCGAGGCAACGTGGCAAGAGCGGCAAAAGCAGCAGCAGCGGCAGCGGCGACGGCGTCGGCGTGGGGCGACCGGGAGGACAGGGGGAAACGAGGGGGCACAAGGCGAACGAATAATGTGTGGGGTGGGGACTCGAGGCTGAGGTGCGGACAATCGCTCTGAATCGGAACACGTCGGCGATGAAAGCTGACTCCGAAGCAAAGCCACGGGTCTCCCCATCTCTCTGCAACGGCAGGGAGGCGTTCTCCGTGGCACCGCACATACGGCACACCGCTGGAAAGGTTCTGTAGCCCGGCCAAACGGCGACACTACCAACAATTTCGAAAAAGCCGAGCGGGGCGGTGGGGGGGGGGGGG